TGACCCACAAGCACCGTACGGTATTCCATCCTAGACTAGTAACAGGGATACCCATGACGGGACCAGCAGTCCAGACCTATCCATTTACCCTATATGAGCACCCATTGTGGGAATAGGAGCCAAGAACAGCCGAATTGGAGAGAAGAGGAGAAAAGAAAGAAAATACCCCCTCGTCAATATCACCAGTAATAAACACGTTCCTCCCACGCTTCCCACTAACATATGGCGCAATCTCCTCAAATTTCCCCGTGACGCTCTCTTTCTCGACCTTCTTCGCCTCAATGGCAACCTTGTTCTTGAACAGCCGGCTAGTGTTTCTCCACCTCCTCAGCAACAACTCAGTATCGCCCTCCGTAGCTGCAACAATAGCCTGCTTGACGTTCTCGTGAATGGGAGCTTCAGCAGTGCACATGAACCTAGTTCCCATATTGATTCCGCAAGCACCAAGAGCTAGAGCACCAGCCAATCCTTCCCCATCACCGAATCCTCCAGATGCAATGAATGGTGTGGTCAGTGACTGGGCCGCACGTCGAAGGAGAACAAAATTCGTGATGTCGTGCTCACCAATGTGGCCAGCGCACTCAAAACCGTCGATAGACAAGAAGTCCACACGGAGCTTCTGCGCGGAAAGGGCGTGTCGGATGGTGGTGCACTTGTGGAGGATTATTATGTTTGCGTCTTTGAGCTTCTTGATTATGGGACCGGGGGAGTTGCCCGCAGTTTCAACTGCGCTTCATTAGTTTTGAGGCGGCGGTGTGGGACCGGGAGATGCCCCACCAATCCTGACACCCTCGTCGATCACGACCTGCGCGTAGGCGTCGTAGTCCGGGGGCACAATAGCCGGCAGGAGGGTGATGTTAACGGCGAAGGGCTTCGACGTCATCATCTTGCAGCGTTGGATCTCCTTACGGAGATCTGCCGGACTGGGTTGGGTGAGGGCTGTGATCTGAGTAGTTCTGATCAGCACGCTGTTCGTCAGACAAGCAGGCAGCCAGTTGAGAAGCGATCAGTCAACGTACTATTCCAAGACCCCCGGCGTTGGAAACAGCTGAGGCAAGTTCGGCGTCTAGATTCCACGACGAGAGGTGGTCAGGGGTGCACCTCTATCGTACAGTACGAAGTATGGATGTTACTTACAACCAACCCATTGCATTCCACCTTGAACAACAGGGACTACAGGAGGGAGTTAGATCAGATTGCGGGAGGGTTTGAACGGAGCGATGAAGGGGGAATGAAGCATACTGGCAATGCCTAAAGCCTCAGTAAGAGTTGTCTGGAATGGCATAGCTGTAGAGTGATCAATGGAAAAATACAATGTGAGCGATGATCTATGACGAAGAGGGAGAAGTTTGACACGTTTGTGGAAAGTACTCGTAGAGAGAAGAATGGGGTTTCGTGAATAAGTGATAGCAGCCATCACGAGCTCGGAGTAACAAAATAGAATTTGCGAGAGGCCTCGGTACTCGTGCCAAGGTTGTGGCTAGCCGCCACAGCCCCTGGCTGCTCGCTCGCTTGCGACCATGGGCACTCAGGAGGCGTGCCCGACAGCTCAACACAAGTCTGTGGCTCAATCTCATTATAATAGAGACTTTGCAGTAGATGTATCCAGGAACCCTGTATGCCAAGAATCAGGTTTTTGGAGCTAGATGGAGAGTTGACTTTGCGGTGGATGGAACTAGAGGGATGATGATGTAAGAATAAGAAATAGGATAGAAAAGTTGAAATGAGGCGACACACAAACTAATTCTAACAACAAGACAATTCACAATGAATTTGAATCACATATGCCAGGCCTCTCTTTCAAATTCCTTTTGTCCAACCCTACCCCCTGAGTCTCTATATGATTCAGCTAGCTATAGCAGTCAGAATAGCTGCCGGCCAGAAAAGGAATCTACTCCACCTTAAGACAAGCGAAAGTGAGGGGCTGCATGGCAGCCATGGGAGCATCAGGCACTGGCTGGTCAAGTCCAAGCTGACAACCCTATCCTCACTCAGGTTGGAAGAAAGGAGGACTGTTGGGAGGGGGTTTCCAAAAACCTTACTCATTCTGGGATAAGCCGTTCGTTGTTCTCCTGCAAGGACCGTATGAACAAACAAGTCGCCTGGCATAAGGTTAGTAAATATTATATAATATTTTGTAAAAAAAAAATACATCTAATTAAATTCATAAAATAGGAAGCAGAAATACGTTCAAAGCAAAAGACAGGAACCAACGAAGAAGTAGCCTATCATATTAAATGACTCGATGACATTTCGCTCCAATATTAGTCTTTATCAAACAATAGTGATATGAAGAAAATAGCAAGAGTCAAAATGGCAAAGAAGATAGAGGAGGGAAAGAAGGTTCGACAAACCTCTTTGGAAGGTCTTGTTTTAAGGAAAACATTAGACATGTCAAAGGAGAGAAGGTGGTCAGATGGTATAAGTGATAGCGTAAGTGATCACTCCATTCCACTACCAAAGAGGCAAAAGCGAGAGAAAAACCATTTTACAATGGAAGTTGCAGGTGCAGTGGAAGAGTTACATGAGAAGGCAGTGGACTTGAGGAAGAGGATAGAGGAATGAGATAAATGGGAGCAAGAAAATATTCAGGTACAGCAAGACTTAGGAAGGAAAATGGATTTATTGATTGAAAGCAATCAGTAGACAAATGAATCGATCCAAATGCTTTTGCAATCTCATATTTCATCACATCAATAAGTTACATTGAACTTTTTTTTGTTTTTCTAAAATCATTTTTGAAATAGTATCATTGCTCCTATGTATATTTCCAATATATATTCAGGAATCTTGTTCAGACTCTCCGCTATTAGATTCTCTGATCTGTATGTGTACAGAAGTTTGACCATGCCTAAATATCTACTGACTAGAGCCCAGTCGAGTGGTATTTGATCATCGATATTCGAATGATTGTAGTCGACATCTTTCCAGCCAAGGAGTAGCTTTACAATCCCTTAGTATCCATTCAAAGCAGCTCATCCATATAGTGTTTCATCATACTTATTCGGATGATAAGAATTGACATCTTCTAAGTCAAGTAGTAACTTCACAACTCCTTCATGTCTCTTAAAAGCGGCATATTCACATGGTCTTTCACTTTTTGGATCCTCTTAGTTAAGTAGTAGCTTTACAACTTGTTTGTGTTTGTTGAAACTGGAACATCCTAGTGGTGTTTGATCATCTATATTCCAATAATTGGAGTCAATATTATTGCGGTCAAGCTATGGCTTCATAACCCATTCCTGTTAATTGAAAGCAGAATATTTGAGTAGTGTTCAATTATTCTCATCCAGGTGATTGGGGTTGACATCCTACTAGTGAAGTAGTAGCTTCATATCCTGTTCCTGTCCTTTGATAGCAGTATATCCAAGTGGTATTCCATCATCCTTATCTGGCCGGTAGGAGTTGACATCCTACTGGTTTATTAAGTCCATCAAGCCTATATTTATTAGCGATAAAAGGTAATTCAAAGGAGAGAGAAACAAATCAATCAATACAAGTGGGTATCAACCAACCATCACCAATAGAACATTGTGCGGAAGATACCTGTCTGCGGGATGACTGATAAACACAGTTAGCTGTTTGATATGCTTTCACATCTATCGTTATATGTGTTCTTGAGAGCTCCTAGGCCTGTCTACAAGGTCGCAGTAGACTTCGATATGAGAACAGTAGATAGTTTTATAAGAAACAAATAAAAAGAAATATATTACTTGCTTAACGCTCAAAATGAAAAAATTCTTCCAAGCTTAGCAGTTTCAATAATATAGGCAGATATTTTGCCTGAGATTCATCAAGTGGAAAAGGTAAGTTCAAATAATTATTCTGAGCAAAGTATTGAGGAATTTGGGGGTTATGCAAGCATACATGAGCATTATAAAGAAGAACTGCAACAAAATACTGTAATCCAATAGGAGAAACTAATAACCTCTGAGTACAAGTAAAATTTAAAGAAGTAAACAGTTGTAGTACTTCCTTAAAACACCATTCTACCACTATTCTGACCTTAGATATAGACTTATTCCACTTTCTTTGATACTCTGTAAGTAATGCCCCACCAAAGGGAGATATCAAATGCTTATTAATGCTATAAGCTAGATCTCCATATACTTGAAGTGGAGTTCCATCAGGGGCATAAGCATAAGCATCCAATATCTCACCCATCCTACTCTCATGCCAAACTGTAGAATCATGAACGTGTCCCTCCACTGGCCCATATAAATGGGCAATAATCCCATCGGGGGCAATAATTACTTAATACTTCAAGCAATGAATTTGCTTCCATCCATTATACACAGCCTCCTGGCTATAAATTGGCTGCGCAATAGGCCTTAGTGTACCATCCACAAATTCCCAACAGCTCTGCAAGGGTGCGTTTCTTTCCCTTATAGTAACAGTATATATTGCTAAGTAATCAGAGATGAGCCATTCAGGATCAAAGGAGAGAGAATCCTTCCAACAGTCAGAAATATATCGGCAGAGGGTATTCGTAATACGTGACACTCACTCTGGTTTTCAACCAAACTCAAGGTAAAGGTCAGACAAATGGTTTGGCCAAGAAAGTCGTACAAGTAGTATACAAAATGCTACTCCATCCAGCTCATAAATTTTGTTATCACAATATACCACTCTGGAATACCTAACCAGTTCACTATCCTCTCAATTTCTTCTTTTGAAACCTATTTGTAAAATAATTAACTATTACCCTCTATCTACATTTCTGAATCCTACCTAAAATACGTTTTCCAGGCTTCAGACTCTAGTTCATCTAAATGAATTTGTCCCCCCTCCTGCTCCTGCCCTCTCTACCTTGCATTCATACATAGAGATACATGCTGATAAAGTCTAAGCTGTAGGAGACCCAACTAAAATTCAAAGAGTCCAAGGTTCAGGTCACTTATTGCAACTGCTTAGAGGATTTCAAAATCAAAAGTGAGAAATAAAATAAAGTAGAATTGGTAGAACTCTGCGTGATCAGAGTCGTGAAGGTCAAATTTGTTGAATTTGCTCCACTGCCGGAGTCAAATCAAGATCTAGATGCAACTAGTCTTGGCATATGCAGGCCAAGACATGCGAAAAGACTCTGGATGTGTCAATCGCAAAGTCTCTAATGTTGAATATAGATTTCTTGATTCACACAATTTTATCGCTCTAAATACTATTCCATGGCTCTAAATACAATTGTATAATACTACATATTATTTCATAGTACTCTAAATCAGAATATGATAAGTAATTTAAAATAACTTCATAGTCTTGTAAGAATTGATATCATCCACAAACAGCAACCTGATACTAGCTACAAGCTAGTCGGCCACCAACACAATTCTTCATTCTTCCCAGTCAGTATGTTGAGCCTTATCCAGATGTTGAGGTCTACATTCAGGCAGCAATAGCCCACCTTCATGCATTAGAGCAATATTATCACAATATTACTATAGCTACATGCAAATTTGAAATACCAGAAATATGTTTCTGAGTAAGATAGCAAGCACGTAAGTTAAGGCAAGTGTGATCAGATGAGCTGCCAATCAAAAGCTTTCTGCAGATCAAGTAGTTGTCCTCTGCTAATATCTTAATTACCTTAATTATGTTGGTGCTGGTACACGTATTCAGATGGTGGCAGAATGTGCTAATGCTATCCTCCAAGAAGCACATATTAGACTAAAAGCAGCACCATTTGTTAGTGAGCATTGGACACATCACTTCCTCTATCGTCATCCTAAGTATTTTATCAAACAGAAGCAAACTATTGATATTAATTAGAAACAATACTTATATCACGAACGTGGCTTAGCACGAAAAAGGTTTTCACGTGACACATGGTTATAAGTCACGGGTATGTTATTGTTTCACGCATATGACCTATTCGGGTTATATGATTTGTTATGTATGGGATTTGTGATGCTTTCGCACATGGTTCAAGTATAAGTCATGGAACATGCGCCTGACGAGTATGCCTTGCGAGTGTGCCTTGCAGGTAAGCCTTGGGCATATGATTTATGTCTCGCACATGACCTCATTATGAGGTCATGGGTTTCGTGCATATGACTCAGTCGAGTCATATGACTTGTTTATTGCATTATGATTGGTTTATGAGTTTTTGCACATGACCTCGCTATGAGGTCATGGGTTTTGAGCATGTGATCATTTTGGCCATATGACTAGTTTGTTATGATTTGGTTTCGCACATGTGACCACTTTAGGTCACATGATTAAAGGCGGGAAGGACACTATATAAGGAGGCCCATGCGGCCGAGGAAGATAGGTTCTTCATGCTTTGTTCTAAGTACTTTTCCTACTTATTACTTTAACGAATATAAAATACCTTTACAATCTTTATCCTTATTGCAACGTTATCGTTATGCCAAGGAAGGCACTTTACGAAGCAGAGTTAGAGAAGGCTTATG